GGGAATATGCCATTCACCTAGGTTTCAATTATTTATGATTCCTGAGGATAATGCCAGATAAATCCAAAAGCTGACCTCTGATTATGATTTGGCTACTCATATACTTTGATTATGGGAAAAGAATTTTATACCAACCTGAATAAGCAGGTTATGTTTCTCACTGAATTCATAAAATGGTCATTCTGATTTGTATGATTCTGCGTGCCCTTGAGTTAGTGCGAGTTCTGCCCCACAGAGCTGATCATCTTGAACTGATGTGCAAGCATGAAGTCCAAGTCTTCAACAGAGTCCAAATCCAGCTGTTCTCATGTTAGGTGACATCATTACCTCACATTCATATTCCAATCCTTCTGGTTCATTCCTGCATGGATCACATTAATGTTCAACTAGCAATGAAAATTAAAGGTTACAATTTAGAACTATAATATATAAAGTCATTCCTGAAACTCCACAAATTTTGAAAAGTCAACTAACTCATTCTATTTCACACGTTCAAAATTTGATAGGAAAAATTGCTGAACACAAACAAAAGCACATGTACACATAAAGAGTGTTTCAAAGTCAGTTTTATGAGAAAGTTATGATTCATGCAAATGATTAAGGGACTGCTACACTTTTCTGTGATGCTTTTTCTAGAAGATGGGCATATCATGACTGAGCACTGACCAGTGGGTGAGCTAACTACACGGATATTTACCCAGTGATGGTTGCCTGTTGAGACAGTAAGCGGCAACATAAGTAGCCATACAAAACCAGCTGAACCTGTTAGGACTTGAATATGATAAGCATGTTTTTCAACAACCACACCTTCCACCCTCTTTAGCAGACCTTTTTTTTATTCTGGCTTTTTTGTTTTTAAACTGCCAACAAATTATGCCCACTCAGTGCTGCCTCTGGCCCATTGATTCTGCTTGGCGCTCTTTGAAATTTTGGACAACATCCTTCTCAGGTGATTGCAATGTGAGTCAAGTAGAAAAGGAGGCTGTCAACAGTCCCAGCGAGGTCCAAAGTCTTGGCAGTGGGTTTCATGCCAGCCTAGTACTGTCACCACATCCATCAGGCCCAGAACACACTGTTACTCTCACAAGCAGTCATTCCCACTGCCATCACACCAGGAGAGAGGAAAGCCTTCTCTTTACAACTGACTGTAAGCAGCTTGATCCTTGTAACCAGGAGGAGTACAGAAATCACAGGCAGGAAGTGCCCTGTGGCTCATCTATAGATTCTTTCCTCCCTGAACTGTCCCCTCCCTCTCCCAAGTCTTCACTCTTCTCAAAAGTGAAGATAGTCAGGAAAGAGACTCTTTGAGCCCAAGGATTTGGCTACAAGCCAGAAGGACAAACCAAACGTACCACAGAGGGGAAGCAAAGGTATAATTTTGGACTGCTACAGAAAAGAATGCAAAATCCAGAGGCAAGGTCCCTGGAGCACTTCAGGGCTCTTGGTGAATGAAAACTGATCCCGAATTTCAACTCGTGATCCTTAGCAGGACCTGTTTCTGGGCAAAATAATAAAGAAAGTAAAGTTTATCACTTTTGTTCACCATATCCGTTCCCTGCCCTTCTTCCCTATCCACCAATAAGGACCTTTTCTTTCCTGGTGATCCCACTGGAACCTTCATTCTGGTTGATGTTGGAATCATCCATATTATAATTCATGCAAATGATTAAGGAACTGCTATACTTTACTGTGACGTTTTTTCTAGAGGATTTGAATATGAATGGAGGATAATATGTCAATGCAAAGAAATAAGGCTTGATTAGTGAATGTTTGCTCCTCTCAATCCAGGCTCCTTTGCTGCTTCATCAGTCTAGAACTAGATGTCATTTTCCTGTGTTGGTGAGAACAGCATGTGGACTAAGCTTATTTAAAGCTAATAACAATCACAGCTGCTGTCTATTAAGTGCCTGCCTTATTCCACTTACCAGATCTTTTACATAAGTTATCTCATTCAATCATCACAAAAACAATATTAAATGGATACTATTATTTCTATTTTACAGATAAGAAAATCAACGTAAGTAATTCTAAACAACTAAGTGGTAAAGATAGTGAACGGCTTTGAAAGCCCTTGACTTCTCTACTATACAGTATCTCACGAAGCAAAAATTTCAGTCAAGTTTTAAAATTAAAATATTAAAATTGGATTTCCAAAGTAGCAGTAGAATACAATTATGGCACTGAAAGAGGTGATTGGAGTATATCTACCTGCTTTACCCACCTACCTCAAATGAATACTGTGAGATTCTCCAAAAATCTGGGCTTTTTTCTAAGATGAAACTATTAGAATAAATCTGTTTTATTTTTTTTAAATTATATTCCTATACCTGGACCACAAAGAAAACCTCAATCCCTTCTAAGGAGAAATAATACAAACAACATTCTCTGACTAAAATGCAATGAAACCAAAATTAACACCAAAATAAAAAACCAAAATGGAACTTCCACCCAGAAATTTAAAATATGTTGTTAAATAACAAAAAAAAAATATATTGAGTGAAAGAAGTCAGACACTAAAATTACATACTGTATGACTTATTTATATGAAGTTAACAAGCAAAACTAATCCATGATGATAAAGATTAAAATAATTATCACCTCTGAATATTGGCTGAGAATGGGCACAAAGGAAGTTTCTCATGGATGAAGACCGTCTCAGTCTTGATCTAAATGCTAGTTCCTTGGGTATATACATATACAAACATTCATCAAGTTGTACAATTGAATTTTGTGTAGTTTATTGTATGTAAATTATACCTCAATTCAAATTTTAAAATCAATTAATATAATACAACACATTAAAAATTACAATGGCCCTGGCTGGCATGGCTCAGTTGGTTAGAAAGTCATCTATAACTAAAAGGATGCAGGTTCATTTCCTGGTCAGAGCAGATACCCAGATTTTGGATTCAATCCTTCGTCCAGGGGCCTACCTTGCCCAGTCTGGACATGTAAAGGGAGGCAACCAATCAATGCTTTTCTCTTACCTTGATGTTTCTGTCTCTCCCTTCCTTTTTCCCTTCCTCTCTCTAAAAAACCATGAAAAAACATCCTCAGGTGAGAGGAAAAATAGAATAAGAATGATCAGTCCATAGTTTAGAGAAAAAGAATTTGATAAAATTCATCACCTGTTCATTAAAAAAAAAATCAGAAACTAGAAATAGAAAACTAGGAATAGTGGAAATTTCCTTAATCTGATAAAAAGTGTAAAAACAATCCTACTGAAATTGAATACTTAATATTGAACTGCTAAAACTTTCCTCTGAAATCAGAAATGAAACAAAGACACATGTTATTGCCGCTTTTATTCAACATGGTCCTAGCCAGGGCAATAAAGCACTGTCATCATTTGTAAAGGGCATAATTGTGCATGGAAAAATCCAAAATACTTTAGAAATAAGTTATTATACTTAATAAGTGAATTTAGCAAGGTCTCAATATCTGATCAATTTACAAAAATCCATTTACTTTTATAAATAAACAAAACTGTTAGAAAAACAACATTTATAATAGCACTGACTTTAAATACTTTAAAATAAATCTAATAAAATATGCACAAAACCAACACAGATAACTTTAAAATATTACTAAAAAAAATTGTAAAATTCCTAAATAAATAGAGAGCTATACCTTGGTGATAAATTAGAAGATTCAGTGTTGTAAACATGTCAATTCTTCCAAAACCAACTGACAGACTCAATGTAACAATCAAAATCCCAGCAAGGTTTTTCGCAGGGAGAAACTGACAGGTTTCTAAAACATATTTTTTAAAATGCAAAGAACCAAGAACATACACAGTAGATTTGAAAAATACTTTTGGAGAACTTACACCACTAGGTACCAAGCTACATCAGTTAAGACAGCGTGACACCAATTCAAACTTAGGCAGACCGTTGAGTGAGAGGCAAGAGGGAAGCCAGGAAAAGATCCTGACGTGATCACCTGACTTAAGGCGGAGGCTGCGTTACAGAATCGGGAGCAGAGCAGAATTGTAACAAATCATGGCAAGTCAACTGGATATCCAAAGAGAAAACTTAATCTGGATCTCCCATTACACCAAAGAAAAATTTAATTCTAGATAAACTGTAGATGAAAATATGTAAGGTAAAAACAATTAAGCTTTTAGAACATGATGTAGGAAAATACCTTCATGATCTTGTCATAAGCAAAGACTTCCCAAAAAGGAATTTAAAAAAGCACTAACCATATAAGGAAAAAAATGATAAGTTTGACTACATAAAAATTAAGAACTTCTACTCATTGAAAAATTCATTTAGAGGCTTGAAAGCTTAAGATGCAGAGTAGAAGTCCCTGTTTGCAATTCTTACAGCTGACAAAAGTTGTCAGATGTATTCAGAATATTTAAGGAACCTCTTTAAATAAAAACAGTGATACAATCCAACAGAAACACGGCCAAACACTTGAACAGGTATGTTACTTCTCTCCAAAGAGCTAAATCAATTTTGGCACATCCAGTGGAGTACTATGCTGCTATAAAAAGGAATGTGGAGTATCTATTCATTACTGTACTATGCTAGGAGAAAGTGGGAAAGTGGAAAAGAGGGTGTATGGCAATATAAATACTTATACGTGTATTATACTACCTCTGTCCATAGTTTGGTAGCATAACCACACAGAAAGGAAATAACACAGGTAACTTTAAAATGCAGTATTTCAAATATTTTCCCTAGTGTAATATATTCTAAGGACCAAGGAAATACAAATAAAACTTAAGACTGTTTTCAGTAATTATATTTTTAGTGGTAGTTTTAATATTATTCTGATTCCGTTACATATTTATGGTAAGGTGAAGCAAATAAGTAATTATTTTAGTGCCAGAATCAGGAACATTTGTGTGGAATAAAAGAATACAGATGTAAGAAGAGTTTAAGTAAAATCTTATGGTCCTGAATTTGACTTGGAAGTATCAGCATGAAATTAGGATGTTTTTATCTTTGAAAAATACTTAATTTCTGATCTTTTTGGACCTGGTGGAACAGGAGGCACATCACAGGAGTGGACATTCACCACAACAAACACCAAAAGGCCCAGGGCAAGGAGCTCAAGAGCCAGGGCATCTACCTAAAGCTGTTGGTCAAGCTGTACAGGTTTCTGGCCAGACAAACCAACTCCACCTCCAACCAATTGGTGCTGAAGAGGTTGTTCATGCATCATACCAATCAGTTATCTCAGTCCCCTTCCCCTGTGATTCAGAAGATAAAGCTTCCTAGATGGGAGGGCAAACCTGCTGTCATTGTAAGTACTACAACCGATGACGTGTGGGTACAGGAAGTGCCCAAACTGAAGGTGTGTGCACTTGGTGTGAACAGCCACTGGATCCGACTCCTCAAGGGCAGGGGCAAGATCCTCACCTTCAAGCAGCTGGCCCTGGAATCCCCCAAGAGCTAGGACACCATCCTGCTTTCTGGTCCTTGGCCAAGGGCCCACAAGAGTACAGGCATTTTGTCGAGGCCCCAGGAACTCCTCACAGCCACGCCAAACTCCACGTATGCTTCAAGGGCTTTGAGCAAGCAAGAGGCTCATGGGCCACACACAGCTACAAAAATTAACCCAGATCCTACCTTATTATTAAAAGATTTGCATGCAAAAAAAATACTTATTTCTTAGCTCTGTCCACTAAAAAGGCCTAGAATCAATGACTAATCCAGAAGCAATATGCACTCCTGACATCCAAATGGTAATCTTTAGATGCTACTTCCCATTAAAAGAAACCAGAGAGCCTTAAAAAAAATGTCTGCTCTACATGTGAGGCAGGAAATCTACAGTTTGCCATCTAGAGAGTGAGAAAAATATTGGGATTATTAGAATTTTGTCAAATAAATGCACTAGACAACTTGTAAAGGTCTTCACTGATTAAAGATATGGTAATGTGAGCAGCAATAACAATAATATCTGAAATGGATTGAAACATAACAAGTATGTTTAAATTTGTGCATATGATGATAATTTAAAAAATATATTGGTTACTTTTGGAAAATGTTAAAGATTTAACTCATTATTTTGAAAACTGAGTTAAATAATGAGTTAACACATGGAAAGAAACATTTGTTCTGTCTTTATTATTGAATAGTGCCTCAATCTGAATAAATACTTGATAAAGAATACCTTTTTAGAAAAGCGTTCCAGCTGGTAAATGAAAAAGGAATAATAGAAGAGCTAGGACTAACTGAAATGTTGATCAGAGTGTTTTGCTGCTCTTAATGAATTAATGGATCTAGACAATGATCATTAATGGCTATTAACATCTCAGTAAGAGAGACAATCAGTTTATACCTCCTGATGGATGTACACAAAGTGAAATATTCTTGCTGAAAAATAAAAGGTCAAACCTGAATCTGATCGATCCTCTATATCAAGCTATCTATTTATGGGAAATAGAGGGACAAGAAAACATTCTCAGCAATACCAAGGGGATAGGAATAGCAAAGTGCACAAACAAAAAGTTACAGAAAAACTTTGAGAAGACAAAAGATGAAAGAGAACAGAAAGATTAAATGAGGCTCAAGAGGTGTATTAATCAATTGCAAACTATGTACCTTATTTGGATCCTAATTTAAACAAACAATATATGTGCAAAAATCCAGAAAACCTTGGACCAGATATAAAGGATATTATTAATTTTTAGTGTAATGTTGTATTTATGTTTTAAAAAGAGTCTTTATTTTTTAGAGATACCCATTAAAATATTTACAGATGAAATTACATGACATCTAAATTTGCTTTAAAAGAACCAAGCAGAGAGGTCAAACAAGTGGAGGTGGAACAAGTTTGGTCATAAACTGATAACTGTTGAATCTGGTTGATGGGTCCATGGAAGTTCATTATATTATCTCTCAACATGCTCATGTTTGGAATTTTTATAATAAATTTTTAAAGTTTAAAATATCATTTGTTCATTTTCATTTATTCACCCATTCATTTAAAATTTATTGAGTAACTACTAAGGATTTGAAAGAAAAAACAAAAAAAATTGAATTTATATAAATCTGGAGGAAAAGTTGAGTGCAATAACATGAAATAGAACCAATAAAGATGTTCTCCTCTTTTCTATCAAATATCATAAAAACAAACAAACAATCAAACAATCCTTGGATGAGTCTCCAGAAGGTAAACCGCACTCTATACCTGAATAGATTAATGAAGTAGGTGAGTTTGTTTTTGTTAGTCTCAGAATAATCCTTTCGGGGACCCCCACCCATTTTTTTCTTTTTACCTTCATGCAGATGCCTTTCAAACCTAACACGGTCCTGCTCTTATTTGGTAAACTTGCTTGTCAGTGTAATGTGTTATCTTTATGGGATTATTTGTTTAAGGCACATGATGCACGATATTCAATGCCTTGTTAAGTATCCAAGTTACATATTTTGAAATACACATAGCTATGTGATTTCTGTGCAAAATCTCAGTTATTATGGTTTTTAAATTAAAATGCTTTCTGGAACATCTGATGTAATTATAGACACTGAACAACGTTTCAATTAGTCCTAGTTAAGAATTATCTTTCATAATATATTCTAAAAGAATGTTATTTCTTTCTAAAGAACCCAGCTTGAACTGGTCACTTATAAGTCATCTCACTTTTTTATGTTGTTATTATTCATTTTTAAAAATCTAACACCAGTTCTGGAAAGTGAGGTACACATTAAAGAAGACTTAGATTTAAAATTGACTTCTTAGATGTATTTTAGATGAAAAAGAGAAAATAATGAGACTTAGGTAAAATTTCTTAAAGAAAGGGACTGGATGATATTTTCATGAACAAAAAATAATCAAAATATACACTCAGGTAAGATCGCTCTGATCTGTTTTGTATGGCAGAAAAAGTTCTGTAGAACATTAGACACCACGTGTGAAAGATATCAAGTACAGAACTAAGTTAAAAAGAAAGCAGTTATGTATATTGTAGGTATAACTAGATATATAAGCATGTATAGAGATATATAGCTATATATAAGGATATATGTATAGATATGTATAAACAGAATATGGAGAATGTTTTGAAGCAATTGCTTTGATTAGTTTGTATTGGGTATGTGATCCAAATCCATTGGGTGGTTCTTGGGCCAGCGTGGGACAGAAATGACAATGCAATCCAGTTGAAACACAAGTCAGAAGCCTGTGTGTAAAAAGCAGTAGGAAAGACTCTCAGCATATGTTTAAGATGTATGAGTGAGGTTTATTTTTATGGTACGTTATGAAATATTTACTGTGGTTATTTCCAGACTTTTGGGTCTCAGAGACCCGTAAGAAAATGTTTTAAACAATGATGTTAGCATAGTTACCTACTTTCTCTTTTTTCAAGTAAATGTATTTTAAATTGCCATCTGCTACCTTTGTCATTTTATTCAAAATGATTATAATGAAAAAAGTGGGAAAGACATAATTTTGAAAAGAAAAGGAAAATAAATAGTCCATCTCAAATCACATAGACAGATTAATGACAGGTATCAGTCTGGATAGCATTTTAGCAGAGCTGGGTTTTCTTCTATTAAACTCTTTTCAAACTTAAATTATATAAATAACCTATATGCACAATACAGAAAACTTGAAAAAAAAACACAGAAAATAACTAAGACTGAAAGTTTGAATTTCCCTATCCAAAGATAACCACAACTTGGTACACATGCACTTGGCATTTTTAATAGGTAATTTGTAATTTTCATTAACCAAAATCTATCCTTCTATATATAGTTCTTATATTTTTTTAATTTTATTTATTTATTTTTAGACAGAAGATAAGGAAGGGAGAAAGGGAGGAAGAAAAACCTCAGTGTGTGGTTGCCTCTCACATGCCCCTTCCTGGGGACCTGGCCTGCAACACAGGCATATACCCTGACTGGGAATCGAACCAAAACCCTTTGGTTCGCAGGCCAGCGCTCCATCCACTGAGCCACACCAGCCAGGGTGTATATTGCTCTTATCTTTTTTATTTAGTGCTATATCATAAATATTTGTCAAGAAAATACATATTATTCCACAACATGATTTTTAATAACTGCACAATCTTATATTTGTATGAGCACAGGATAATTTACTTAATCAATTTTCTCATTGTTGAACATTTGTTATTGGTTTTTTGTTTCAAGTTTTTCTCTATTGTAAGCAATACTTGAATGTTCTCAGTCCTCTTCAGCCAGTGAGTACAGCTGGGATCTACTTAACAGTAGTGACATACCTGTTACCATCTCTTGTCCTCCACCCCCATTCATGCAGACTCTCAGCCTGAAACATTTACAGAAGTCTCTAGGAACAGAAGCTTCTCCTGAGTTCAGTAACAATTTGTCTCCTGTTGGGATAATGGCTCCTCTTATGAATATTCCGTGAGCACATTGGTGTCCTCTGGAAACCACTGGGGACCCCAGTAAGTTTTAAGTGGTCCACATTCTGTTTCACATTTGGAGGAAGCCTAACTCGCATGATCATTTGCTATTTTGTATTAGATTCAGAACACACATTGCTGCTTAACCCTTAACCCACAAGCCCCACCCCACCCCCCAAGAAAACAGTCCCTTCAGCTCTGCCTGCTGGGCCTCTTTCTACAGATCTCAGACACTAATGCTTGGATTGGTTGGAAGGCAGACAAAATGTGGTCCTAAAGGTGCCCTACTTCCTCAGGCTCACCCAGACAAAGGTTCGAAGCCTTTTTCTGCACAGGCAGGACTCGCTTCAAGGAGCACTTTGGGCACCTTTCTTTCTTCCCCTGGAATAAAGTCTTAGATGTGAATGCCTATGTACAAATTTTAAGGCTTTCAATATTGTTATGGGCTGACTTTTGTCCCCACTAAACTCATGTGGTAAAGCCCTAACCCCCAGTAACTCAGAATGTGACTATATTTGGAGATCGGGCCATTAAAGAGATGATTAAGTTAAAATTAGGTCCATGGGGCATGTCTTAATCTAATCAGACTGGTGTCCTTGCAGAAGAAAAAAGAAAAAAAAAGAGGAGGAAATTTGGATACAAAAAGAGACACCAGGTGAGCACATGTCATGTAAGGACACCGAGCAAAGGTGGCTATCTACAAGCCTCAGAGGCCTCAGGAGAAACCAAACCAAACCAAACCAAACCAAATTGGCTGACACTTTGATCTCAGACTTCTAACCCCCAGAACGGTGAAAAATACATTCCTGTCATTTGAGTCCTTCAGTCTGTGGTGATCTGTATGGTAGCTCTAGAAAATTAATACAAATGTATACTCAAGAATTGGACAAATCACTTTTCATTTCCCATGTTATTCTCTTCATTTATTGTTGCCATGAAATTGCAGGATGTCAAGTTAGGAAGGACTTGAAGATCCATCAAAGAACACTGATAAGAAGCAGTTCTCACTGGGATGGGTCACAGGGCTTTTTACATAAAAGTGCTGAAGTCAAACCCAGCCTTCTGAATCATTTCTCCAGGACTACACAAATTTTGTACAAATTTGCATATGTACAAAAACCCTTGCCCAGTATTTCCAGAACCTTGCAATTAAAAAGACCACTGAGAGCTTTTGTAAATAATAAGAATAGAGGAAAAGTGGTATCATCCCTAATTAATGTCTGAGCAGGC